ACAGGCAATAGGGCGCTTATGTTGCATAAGCACAGCCCCAATCCCTCTCCCAGATGCATCACATTCAATTTCAAAAAGTTGAGTAAAATCTGGGAGAACCAATACTGGTGCCAAGGTCATTACCTTTTTTAGAGTTTCAAAGGCTACTTGAGCTCCTTGACTCCAATGGAAGTTGTCCTTTTTGGTCAGCTCGGACAACGGTTTTGCTATCTTACCGTAATCTTTGATGAACTTTCGATAATACCCGGTGAGACCCAAAAAACCTCTCGCTCCCTTCACATTCTTTGGAGTTGGCCAATGTAGCACATTGACAATTTTTTTGGGATCCATGGACACCCCTTCCCCTGAGATTTGGTGGCCCAAATAATCTATTGATTTCCTACCAAAACTGCACTTCTTTTTATTTACCACCAGCCTATTAATTTTCAGCAACTGTAACACCTTAGCCAAATGCAATAGATGTGTTTCCCAATTTGGGCTGTAGACCAAAATATCATCGAAAAACACAAGAACAAATTTACGTAAACAAGATCTAAACACATCATTCATTGTGGATTGGAATGTGGCAGGAGCATTCATTAAACCAAACGGCATGACCAAGTACTCATAGTGGCCATTATGAGTTCGAAAAGCTGGTTTATGGATATCTTCATTCTTTACTCTAATTTGGTTAAAACCTGATTTGAGGTCAAATTTAGAGAATACCCAAGCTCCATGCAACTCATCAAGGAGTTCCTCTACCACTGGAATAGGGTATTTGTCAGGAATTGTAACATTATTTAGAGCCCTGTAATCTACACACATCCTCCATGAATTATCCTTTTTCTTTACCAAGATGACTGGGCTAGAGAAAGAACTATTACAAGCCCGAATTAACCCTTTCTGCAGTAACTCTAAAACCTATCGTTCAATTTCATCCTTGTGGTGATGAGAGTACTTGTAGGGTCTGACGCTTATAGGTCTCTTTCCCGCTTGAAGAACAATTGCATGATCATTGTCTCTATGTGGTGGTAAGCCTTGAGCTTCGGTGAATACAATTGGAACTTGAGCTAATAATTGTTGGATCTTCTCTTGTTGTTCTTGCGATAAATCTCCATATTGGACTACTTCTTGATCTTAAACCTGTATATTCCAAAATAACTTGTCAAAGGACAGCCTTTTGCTGGCAATTAAGTTATGCAAGGAAGAAGTGGCTGTTGCCACCTTCGGTTTAATGCCACACAAGGTGATAAGTTCATTCTTGTTGTAGAAAGTCATTGTCATTTGCCCCGAATCTGTTTGCACCAACCCTAATGTTTCCAGCCATTTAATCCCCAAGATTAAATCCAAGCCGCTTAAGCCAAAAACATAGGCAGTCACAGAGGCTTCCATTGGGCCTAAATCAACCTTCAAGTTGCAAGTTCCCTTTGTCAGTACACGGTGACCATCACCTAGTCGTATGGATACACTTGAAGTGTCTTGCACAGGCAGATTCAAAGCCTTCACAACACGTCTTGATACAAAATTATGGCTAGCACCGCTGTCCACTAAAATTAAAATTGGTAATCCATTCAATTGTCCCTTTAGTTTCATGACTTTAGGACTAGAAACTGCTTCTTTAGTGGAATGGAATAAGCACATAGCAGTGCATTTGACTTCCTCAAGAGTCTCATCATTGTCACCTTTAGCAGATACGATCTCACCCTCTTCGTTGAAAACCTCGTCTTCTGCAAGCAAAGTGAGTGACCTGTTTTTCTAGCCATTGATGCATAGGATGGTATTGCTGACCACACCTAAAACACAACCCCTTTTTCTTTCTATCAAACAATTCCTGGGCAGATAAATGGCGGATCCCTCTTCTCCTCGTATCTCCCGAACGGCTAGTAACAAACCCAGGTCCATGTGACTTGGCTTCATGCTTCCAATTCTGGGAGTTATTTTGTTGATAAAGGGAACTTTTTTGATTTGAAAGTGCAACACCCGATTTTAGCGAATTTAATCCATGGCTGACCATAGATTTTCGATTTGAAATATTGCCCTTACTATCAGACTCCCCGTATATTTCACATTCCACATCACGAGCTAGAGAGATAGCCCTATTAATTGTTTCTAGTTGGTGAGTACGCACCCAAACGTCTAATTTCGGGTTTTAACCCATGCATAAAATATCCGATGGCTTGTGGTACAGCTAGGCAAGGGACTTGGGAGGACAAAAACTCAAACTCTTCAATAAATTCTGCCACAGAATGCTCCTGTGTAAGTGCAGCCAATTGTTCATAAGGATTTCGGGTATTTGTGTCTCCGAAGCGATCAAGCAATGCCTCCCTTAACCTTTCCCAGGAAAGCCCTGGGTCACCCTTCCATAGCAAAGAAAACCAATGGATGACATGCCCTTCCATTGACAATTGGGCAAGAGGAATTTTTGTTTCTGGTGGGGTACCATGCACACGGAAAGACATTTATGCCCAAACAATCCAACCGCGTGGGTCCATACCATCAAAGGAGGGCAATTCAACCTTCCTTGTTGCGAGCCGATAGTCATCAGAGAAGAATACGGGAGGAGGAGGAATCTTAGGAGGGTCATTAGCCTTGTGGGAGTGATTATCTCCATCCCGTTTTAACCACTGAGTGATCATGGATTGAAACTCAGCATTTTCACGACGTTCAGTCTCATTCGCATGTGCTTCCTTGATGACAGATTGCTAGAGATCAGCAATCGAGGATTGTAATTCCTGAAGTTGGGCGTCCAAGGTTGTGACTTTGGATTCCAATGCATCGACCTTAGAGACCATGTTGAGAGATCCGACAGGTCGAACCAATGATAGGTTCCTGGAAATTTAAGAATACTTTATTGAATTAAAAAAAGAATTACAGGAAGTGATCTGCTTTTTCTTTCTTTCCAGAGCATAGGCTCTGCACAATTTCTCAAAGAATAACTTTTCCTCCCCCTCAGACTTCCCCTAATCCCTTTTTTATATCCCTCCTAGCTAACTTTCTAGATAATCTTATCTCTTCCTAGCTAATACATACTTTAATTTAAAAAGATAAAACAGAAGATAATTATCAATTTCCTAAATAGATAACAAACAGAAAATAAACTGTTAAATCTTATTCCTCCTAGTGTAGACTCTCCAAACCTTGGGCCTGCTATCTTGCCTTACTAATTGGGCTCTATCAGGTGGCAAGTGGTGGTGCAAAAGCTGAATTCAAAGCTATGGCTCAAGGTATCTATGAAGGAATCTGGCTTAAGAGGATGCTGGATGAAATCAGAACTCCTATCCATTACACTATGAGGATATTATGTGACAACAAAGTTGCCATAAACATTGCAAAGAACCCAGTCCACCATGATAGGACAAAGCACGTGAAGATTGACCGACACTTCATTAAAGAAAAAATTGACCACGATATTATAAGTGTTGACCATGTTCCATCATGTAGACAAACAGCAGACATCCTCACAAAGGCTCTTCCAAGGAACACATGAAAACATTAGATCCAATCTGGGTATGATAGACATCTACCACCCAAATTGAGGGGGAGTGTTGGAGATCAGATCATATCAAGCAGAATTTGTTGGAGATCAACACATATTAATCAGAATCATTCAATTCTAATTTGTACAACCCATAATAGGATTTAATGTTAATAAGATCAATTTTATTTACCCTCCTTTAATTATTTAGATACAGCATTTATAGGGAGAATTATTTCCCTGATTTTCAGGGATAGATTAGTGTGCAAGTTTATTCCCTTGTATTCGATTTATACCACCTTTGTATTTTTCCCAAATCAGAAAAATATACATCATATTTTTCTGAACTTAGCAGTAGTTTAGTTTTTAATTCTCTGTTTTGCTGTTCCTGTAATTTCTTTTCTTTATTCTTTATTTTCAGTTGTAAAGCAGTAGCATAGGAATATCCCTTCTGTTAATTTGTTGTAACTGCTTACTCTAGTTAGTTAGACCTATAGCTTCTATTGAAGCTAAGCTAACAGCTTCTGTTGGAAGAAGCTGTTAGTTCTATAAATATTGGATTCTAATCTAGATACAAAGTGAGAAATATACAGTTATTCATCTTGAATTCTCTCTCTCAAACTTTAATAAAATTTATTTCGATTGGGCAAAATCAGTAGCAAATAATTGGAATGTTAATTTCTCTCAGCCGGTAGTTTTGTGCAAAAGACCAAGTCACCAGGAACACGAGCAAATTATTTTTGCTCCAATTTATTTTCTCCTAGATTTTACTCTTTTGCTTGTACTAGTGTATTGAATTCTTTGTAGAATTCCATAAAAATTGGTTCATCCAAACTATGTTGTTTTGTCTCATTTAATTAAAAATGGTTCTTCTGACCCCTCTTTTAATTGTTTAGATTCAAACTTGCCAAAAAGATTAAAAAAAAAATCCTTTTTCCTCTTTTGCTCATCTTGTTTTCTTTATTTATAATATGAGGCATCCCATTTATTATAATCGATGCTAATAAGAGATCAAGTATATGACTTGATCATGAAATTGAATTAGATAATAGAATATTATTCTTAAATATCTCTAGTTGATTATTATTGTTAATAAGGACACCCATAATTCACAAAGACTAGCATTGGAGTAGACTAATGATCACATCTCATGTGACATAGATATGAGATATTAAGTTTCATATTCACCAGATGAGTTTATTTTCTGGATATTCATGCATAACATCTATTTTTTAGTTTTTGCAAAAAACAAATCATATGATTGCCATAATGTTAATGAAACTCCACATGAACATATAGAACCTCACCAAAAATATTGCACCACTTCACGAAAATTCATGTTTGGCAAAAGTAGTGGACTTCATGAACATATAGAACCTCACCAGAAAAAATATATCATCACTTCATGAAAATTGAAAAATCAAGTTTTCAATAATAGTGGACTTCATGAAGAAAAAATTCATACGTTATACAATGGCATCACTTTAGTTGCAATAAACACACATGAACAAATAGAACCTCACCAAAAAATTGATTCCAAAGTTACCTTTCTGGACTTTGCTGCGGCTGCACTAGCATATTCAGCAAGTTCTCTAGCTGCGAGCAAATCCTCAGAACAGTTTTGGAAATTTGCCTCAAAAGCTTTCTTAGAAGCTTCGGCAGCTGCTTCCTTGGCTGCTTGTTCCTGTAAAAAAAAGGTGGAGTTTGAGCAAGATTCAATACACACTAATCTCCCAAATAAGCCCAACTATATTAACTAGAAAAACTATATGATATCAACCTGGGTCAAAACACAATACCCTCATGATAGGAAACAGAAAAACCACCAGAGGACTTTATCCAAAAATATAAAGTAAAAAAAATAAATGGAATTAAATTTTCAGTACCTCAAGATACTCACGGTTCAGGTTTTCCCATAAAATCTTCTTGTAGTGCTTTTCCTCCTCACTGTGAAGGTAGCCATCAACCTAGGCAGCATTTAGCATTTTACAAGGAAAATAATCAATGATTTATTTTGCTAATCAAAATTCAACTTATAGATTGATTCATAAGAACATGAAGTCCACTACTTTTGCCAAACATGAATTTTCGTGAAGTGGTGCAATATTTTTGGTGAGGTTCTATATGTTCATGTGGAGTTTCATTAACATTATGGCAATCATATGATTTGTTTTTTGCAAAAACTAAAAAATAGATGTTATGCATGAATATCCAGAAAATAAACTCATCTGGTGAATATGAAACTTAATATCTCATATCTATGTCACATGAGATGTGATCATTAGTCTACTCCAATGCTAGTCTTTGTGAATTATGGGTGTCCTTATTAACAATAATAATCAACTAGAGATATTTAAGAATAATATTCTATTATCTAATTCAATTTCATGATCAAGTCATATACTTGATCTCTTATTAGCATCGATTATAATAAATGGGATGCCTCATATTATAAATAAAGAAAACAAGATGAGCAAAAGAGGAAAAAGGATTTTTTTTTTAATCTTTTTGGCAAGTTTGAATCTAAACAATTAAAAGAGGGGTCAGAAGAACCATTTTTAATTAAATGCCCAAGATTCCATTAACAACTTTGTTCATCTTACGTTTCCTCTCCTTTTAACTTCCCTGACTGCACACCAGATAATCATGCTCAAAACGGAGCATGATACTACTGCATCTCATTTGCACCACAACCTATTCCTTCAATAACCCATTGCTACAGCTAGCTGACAATCTTGACAGAAACAACCTAGCAATATTCCATCAAGGCTGTGTGCTCCCACTGATCAGGGAGCCTCTGGTGACAAGCTTGGTTGCTCTGACAATATTCAATCAGTGTTGTGTGATTTAAAATCTGTAATGATCCAACAACTAGACTGGTTTCTCTGAACTTCGGATCTGTGCAAGTGCAGCCTTAGGTAAACTCTTACGAGTTTACAAGTCAAGTCTAAGGATGCTTCACAAATTTACATAAACTCTCAAGTTTGACAACCTTGTTTATAGTTGTTTTCTGCAATCATAATCATAATACATACCAATTTGGATTGATGAATGGTAGACTATTCTAAACCGTACATCTTATGATTTATTATGACCACATCTAAGTATTCAACAACTTTGATTGATTGATATGGTTTTATTTTCTATTACAAAAACTTGAGGAAACAATATCCAGTCCAATAGCTGCTTTAGGCATAATAAGCAATCCAGTGACAAGATACATTGAAATTCAGCATTGACTGAAAATTATCAAGGGCACGACTAAATAGGAAAATTAAAATTTCCCAGGGATTTATATCAAGCTACAAGAATAACAGAATCTCAATCTTAATTCAACATATAAAAGCATTTAAAACACAAAAAATAAAAATTCAGATTTAGGAATGATGAGCAAAAATGCGATTATTATTCAAGAAATGGGATTATTATTGCTAAATGCCAGCATTAAAAGCAGGGAGAAGATTTTATTATTGATTCATTTTCTCTTAACTCTTTAAAATAGGAATAAGTCATAAAAGTTGTATACCACACAAGCTTTTCTTTTAATATTTAAAAAAATAATTGTTAATTAAGAGAACAAATTAAAAAGGGAGGATACGGAAAAAAGAGCAAAACACAAATAGGTATGTTTAGTCTAACATCAACTAGAAATATGACCAATGTAGTTCTTATAAGACTTGGACAACCCTCGCCTAACAATATAAATTCTTATAGGGTTGAGCCTTTGAGAAAAAGAAAGGAGGTATTCCCACTTATTAGAGCAAAGAATGGAAAGAGGGGTATGAATGTAAAATGATATTTTTGTATGAGTAGCATCAATCTTAATCTTGTCTTCCCATAAGTCAACACTTGGTCATCCCCTTATGTTACGGAAAGTTAGGTTCAAACATTTTATGTCTAACATAGACTGAAATTTACAAACAAAATTAATATATTTCTCTGATATTCACTATTTTTGCATTCTAATATTGGCACAGGAAGGGGTGAAGAAGATTATAATCCAATATTATATCTTTTCTTTTTTAGAATTAGAATAAATTAAGTTAGAAAACACAAAGAATAAAGATGAATTTAGCTTGTTAATCCAGGCTTCAATAGAAGTGATAAGAATTAAATCCCTTAAAAACAAGGATCAAAGGAATTGTCCAAAAAATCTTATTATAGTTTTGCAAAAAAAAAATAAACGAAAAAAAATGAAAAATAGTAAATTGCAGCTATAAAAGCAGAGTAGCAAGTTATGAATTGCATAACACCAACACATATAAGAAATAGCATGGTATTAATCACCTCATGATCATCAATATCAGAAAGACTTTCTGATTCATTTTGAGTTTCTGTGTTCAGATCATCTTCTTTATGTGACTCATCATGCTCACCATCTTTAGTGGCCACATTTTCATTAATCACTGGAAACATTTTAAGCAAATTAGGATTGCAAAACTATGAGCAGAGAAATTATAGTAGCCAAGAAAGATAAAGACAAATGAAAGCACCTACCAATACTTTCTGGCACTGAGGAATGTAATTCTTCTATTTGGCTCCTGCATTCATTGTTTGACTCTTCCACCAACTAACCAAAAGAACATTAAAAAAAATACGTGATATTTTATGCCAAGTTAGCTCATAGCACTTTGAAGATTGCATATGGGCATCATGTCTGAAAAGAGAAAATTCAGTTGACTAGATTAACATTAGATGCTCCTATATGGCTTATGACACGGTCATGTTCAAGACAATTCATATCATTATCAGGAATTTTGTAGTGGATGCGTTGATAAGAGTAATATTTTAATATTAATGACAAATAGGTGCTAAACTGCACAAGATTTTTGGCCTCGTAGCTCATGATATCTTATGCAGCTGATTCTCACTTTATCAACATTCAGTTAGAACTGGAAGATCTATGGATTTTTCTTGGTGAGGCATGACCATATGTGTTCTGGTTTGAAGTATGGCATCAGTGAGCACCTAAGTTTGTGGCATTTACAGAAAGGAAATGCATACTAGCATAAGACCTAGTCAAGGTGTACTTACATTGTGTGATTGATTAGAATTTTCCTTGGAATGTGATTTTATCATTCTCTCCTTCTCCGCACGTTGGAATGCAGGAGGATCCAAACCACCACCAAGTCCACCAGATAGTTTATCAAACTAGAACAATTAGTTGAACAATATATGACAACAATCAATAGTGCTTAATAAAAGACAAAAATCTGCTGACAAAAATCTGCATCAGGAAGAAATGACTCACCTCCTTGTAACATGTTTCACATAATCCAAGTGCAAAATAGGACTCAGAACTACCCTTGTGTTCACATAGTAGTTCTTTTGAAGTACATTTGTTCAGTTCCCCACTTGGTATTTGAACTGGATTGTTTTCATGCTCCTTTGCCATTGTATTCAACTCCTCAATCTGTAAACATAATAGATGGGTGAAATCTTTATTTACACTGAAAAAAATAATTTCTTTTTAAAAAAAAGTGGGTAGTTATTATTTTTAAAAAAG